TTCCAAGTGGCTGGTAGGCGGAAGCGGAAGGTGACTGCAGTGACATTTACTTCAACGAGGATAGTCCCGCAGAAGCAAGGTTGAAGCTTGGATGGAAGTTGGTTGATGTCGAGATTATGGTCTTGAGAAGGGTAGTGATGAGTTGCCAAGTGCTTGTGCTGATGTTGGATGTCCAAGAGGGCGCTTGTGTGGTCAATGTACAAGATGGTGGATGATGGCAATGAAATCGGAAGCCAGTTGGACTGTGGCTGGTATGGTTAGCTGTTGTGGTGTGATCGGGTGGCGTCCGTAACAGACGAAGTACAGCGTCTGTCCAGTAGCGGCGTCAGGAGCATACTTATAGGCAAACTCCAGGACGGGCAGATGCAAGTCGGAGTTGGAGATGTGAATGGTTGAAACAGTGTGCTGTAACGTGCAGATGAATGGCTATGTTGTCCGATCCGTGCATGCTGTTACCCGCATCTGGTCCACGTGTGAAGATCACCAAGTGTTGGTGGTATGGCAGTCGTGTCGTAGTACTGCTTCTGTCGAGCTGGTCCATGCCTTAGTGTTGTCGCGAGTCGTACCCACTCGGCATCGTAGTGCCGCGGATTGGAGAGCAGAATCACTAGTAGTAACCCTGTCCACCACGCGGTCTGCTAGTCACACTGCCTCGAGTACAACATCGGATGCGAAGTGCTGCTCCACGTATCCCTTGTGTTCAGAACCATGCGAGGGGTTGGTACCACAAACGCGGAGCTGGTAACTTCCAGAATCGGCGCCAAGTGCTGTAGTTTCCCTCGCTGGTTGCTCAGGCAAGGAATCTCATCTGTGTAGTCATCCCACAATGATGGGTTAGGACATTTGGGAATGTTGGGGCTATTCCCAAATAATCCTCTCCTGTGTCCAAATGAGCATTGCTGATAGCCAATCCAGGATGACCTTATGCACGTCCAGTTTAGCACGGAGGCCATCGGTAGGCATCGGTGTCTGGCGCATATATTGAGATAGGTCTTCTGGTGCCATCATGTGTTGTCTCAATCTGTTACTGTCATTGAACTAGCGTTGATGTCGAAGACGTCTCAGCTACTCAGCATCGGTGTTGAAGTCTACTCCATTTCGGCAAACAGGGGTGTTGTTGGAGATACGCGGAGTCCACTATCCGGAGTGGCGTCGGCGCTCCATTCCACGCCTATCTGCTTCCGTGGAGTTGGTGCTGGTGATGGATTGGTTGCGACGCAGGTTTTATGACTTTTAAGGAAAGCCATAGGCTATGAGGACTTGTATACCGGTAGAGTACCGTGGTCCTCCCATCCTCATAAGAGCAAATATCTTCCGCTCTTGAGGGTATATGGCATTGCCATGTTGTTTCTTCGCATAGTGGTATCTCCTTCCCACTAGCTGGAAATCATAGGACTGTGCCTGGCCAGGTCTTAACGATCCACTGGAATATAATCCAGCATTATCTCTATTGAGTGGAGAATCATCCATCAGGATTTGGTTGTGACTGTTGTGTCGAGTCTTCTGCTGCGGCGGCGGCGGCGGTTGCGACGACGGCGACGGCGGCAGCTGCTGCAGAGAATTCTCTTAACTCGTACCGGTTGAAGGAGAATCCATCAACTCCCTCTTCCCAGTAGAGTGTTCCTGATGGGTGTAACAGGCGTAACTACCAGGAACACGTGCACATTAGTACACACGTGTTGCTCCATTGCTGCCGGTGATTGTTTCATTTGAGGGTATGAAGAGAAATTTGCTTCTCCCCTCAATGTATCCACGGGTAGCAATTCCTGGTATGCTCATCCGTGCCTCCGATGTACGGTCGGTAGAGCGCGTGATCGTGTTGTAGTAGTCCGCATCTCCCTCATTTGTTGACACCTCGTATTGCTTGACGTTCTCCTGCATCGTCGAAGTTACGCTGATGCTTGTAACGCTTCGGCTTCTGGTAGAATCGCCTCCAATGCATGTGCCGTAGGGTCGCTAGTGAACGAGTACTTGCCGGATTAGAGGTTAATTACTCCTCAATCTGTCAAGCATCGTGACATGTACGGAATTTTCTTCCACGCAGGTCATTAACACCTGGAATCGCGACGCATGATTGGTGTGTCGCCTCGTGAGGTCGATGTTGAGACTGCTCCAATCAATCACCTCGGATGGCTGAGATTCTTGATGAAGACGAATCGTTCAGCTCCTGTTACGAAGTAGTGTCTCGCTGGCCTTGACGAGACGGGTTCACTGCGTCATCGTTGCGTGCGAAATCTGCTCCTTCGCAGCAACTTGATGTTGGGAATATTGCAAGAGAAAACGGCTACTTCTCTGCAATCCCATAGGCTGTCGATCAATTTGTATGAAGAAGTGTCTTGTGGATGGAGAACATGTCTTCACGCAGCTCCATTGTTTTTCCTGGGTGAAGATCCGCTGTGTTGATGTCGATCCATTTTTAACGAAGACGACTTCGTCAAAATTACTCGATCGTTATCGACACTAGTCAGAAGATGCGTCGATTGTGCAGTCGCTGGTCACGAATGTTGTCTCCATGATGATGATTTCCCATAGTGTAGTCTCCGCTGCATTCGTGCCGCTGATTCCGCACCGATCCGACGATCCACGTTCTCCTGTCATTTTTCTGCATGCAGATATTACCAAGTAGGTAATTCTTTGGCAGATTTCTGACTCTGCAGATGATTTACGCGCCAAATTCGTCACCAAATGAAGGAATTCGAATTTGGTTGTCCAGATGTTGTCGACGGTGTCGAAGGCGGCTGATTTTTGGTTCTGCGCGTCATTCTCCCTTCGTGCAGAAGTCGCGCTCCATCTCGTCCGTTGAAGTAGAAGTCGATCCGACGGTCCAAACTCCAAGCGATCTGAGGAACCTCCTGAGTCATGTTCAGCAGCTTTCGGTGCACGGATTGACTCGTTTCCTGCAGCAGTTCTCGGTCGTCGATGTCGGCTGTCGAACGATCGGACGTCCCGAAGAACTTCGCGGCTTGCGAGGTCCCGTTCCCATTCGCGATGAAACTCGATCTCTCTCAGCAGGATTTCGTTTTCGCCTCGGTTGATCTGAAGCGTCGAATCCCCATCGGACGGATGTCGTCGGTCGAACCTCCGCAGAGTTCCGCGCAACTCCAAGTGTTGTCGCGAACTGCGAACTTCTCCGAATGTCGCAGGGAGTGTTCCGCCGGAACTGACGCGATCGCGAGGTCGAGGCCCGTTTGCCCCCGCGAAAAAACGGCACCGTCGATGCAGTCCATCGAACGGTTGGCGAGGCATCTCGCCTTCGAAGGGGACCCCAGGTGCAACTGCGAGAGGTGAGACGAAACTTAAATGAAAGTGCATTGTACTTACAGGAATTGAAGTTTCGACTCCATCCTCCGCGTGCTCCTGGGGGCCCAGCGGTTAAGCGTTGAACTGAAACCTTGGCTCTGATTACCAAGTGTCACAGGATCGAATGTCCCGAGGAAAGGTTTGCTCAATGTTCAATGTTGCACTATCAATCAATACAAGGTGCTTTTATACTTCCAAGATACATCAGGTAACCAGGTTATCCTATCCAAAGGGAATAGACCCTTCTAGAAATAGAATCACCATGCGAATAGCCACGCGAGGCTATTGGCTTTAAGGGATTACGGCAGGATTACGCTAGATATAGCGCGCCAGTACATCCCGAGCCTAGTCGGTGATATAATCATAATAATAGGATAAACCAAAGGATAATGGAAAAGGAGGAATAGGAAACCAAATGAGATGAGATAAAGACCAAATGAATCAGGAGTGAAAGAGGAATGAAATAGAAAGGAAATATGGAAAGGGGAAATTGGTGTAACGGGGTCGTACTCTCACAGACCTCAGCACTGGTCTGCCGCTAAGAGGGTTTTGCGTTATCTTGCTAGTACATCGGGCATGGGGTTAGTGCTAGGAGGACGCATGCCAGTGATCCTTACTGGGCACACAGACGCTTCTTGGGCAGACGACTCTGAGACGCTCAGGTCGTCGCAGGGCTACTGCTTTAGCCTTGGTTCGGGTGCTATCTCTTGGAGATCCACTCGCTCGTCGTCTATAGCTCAGTCCAGCTGTGAGGCTGAGATCTACGCTGGTGCCATGGCGGCACAGGAGCTCCGCTGGCTGACCTTCTTGCTCACGGACTTAGGTGAGCGGCCTAGCTCTGCCCCGGTCCTGTACGCTGACAACAGGGCCATGATAGTCCTGTGTCAGGAGCCTCGGCTTGAGGGCAGAGCGAAGCATATCCAGCTACGGTACTTCCTCCTGCGCGAGCTACAGCAGCGCCGCCAGGCCCGCGTAGTTCACTTGGCCTCAGGTGCCAACACAGCTGATATCTTTACTAAGGCGCTTGCGCCTAAAGATCATCAGCGGCACTGTGTACAGCTTGGTCTTGTTCCTGTAGCTACTCACCTGTAAGGATCCTGATTGTGTACTCTCTATTATATATGCCTGTCAGACTGGCCTTGTGGCCTTACCTCCAGTGGCTGGACTAGTAGTGCTGCCCTGGCTTGCTTAGTCTTGTTTGTACCCTTGCTGACTGGTCTCCAGACCCCTGCCTCAGTGGTTGGACTAGTAGTGCCACCCTGAGCTGTTTGCTTCTTGCTTAGCTTCACCCCTTGTCTAGCCTAGGGGTTGTGTCAACTTTTACATGTTAGTTGTGTACAAGTTATAGGCTAGACTGGGGTATGTTTCTAGTGAGTACAACCATCTAGTATTTGTTCTAGGTTTCCACTTCTAGTTTATTATTCAGTTCTTACTTTAACAGAATCTACCTAGATGCGTTTTGTTTATACGAGATGAACACCGCATCTGCCACGCTAATTATAACACTATCGAGTTGCATGTATCAAGGACGAGCTGCAGCAGGGATGAGACCTCACCTGAGGTTGACCCGAGGGTGTCCCGAGGGTTTCATCAACGGGTGACCTCGGGGTCACAACGAAAGTTCTCTGGCTGTGGGTTTCTTTGAGGTACCTCAGTCCGAGACCCCAGGGTTACCCCCCAGCGCAACACCCCCAGGTGACTTGCGGCAGTCTTGAGGGTATCATTTTGCCACCCTAATTTTTGGGATGTGGTGTGACTGCGACACTGCTGCGGGAGCAGACACTGTTAGTTTATTTGTCGAGTCGTCACACGGGGTTGTCTGTGTTACAGGCAGCCTCAGATCCCAGCGCTGATCTCGGTCGTAACATGTTTCGTCATCCAATCCCGAGCCAATAGCGCGTATGGCGCGGGAGCGACCGGCGTGGCTGACGCGGCGCGCGGTGGGCGCCTTGGTGCTGGCGGCGGTGCTGGCGGGCGCGGCGGTGGCGCTGTGGGCGCGCGACCGGCGCGACGGCGAGGGGCTGCAGCGCGCGCTGGCGGCGCAGCAGCGCTTCCAGCAGCTGCTGCTCTCGCGCCTCGACGACCACGTGGCGTCAGTAAGCCAGGGGGCCGTGCCTGTCGTGCTATCCGCATTCGCACGCCCCTTCTGCCATCCCCGCCCCGATCGCGCCCATCCAGCGTCGCCCAGTACCGCCCATCTGCCGCCTCACCTGCCACATTCTCCCCCTTCTGTCTCACTCCCTCAATCCCCGCTCCCTCGGCGTTTTTCCTTCCCCCACCCACCCTCCCCAACGAATCCTTCCCCCCTTCCCCCTCCTTGCGCCCTTCCCCATCCTCCTCCTCCCCCCCCCCTTAGGTGCATCCGGCGGTGGCAGCGCTCTCGGACAGCGTGGCGCCGCGCGCCGCACACGCGGGCGCGGTGGTGGTGCGCGCGGGGCACCGGGGGGCGGCGCAGCTGTGCGCGTACAGCGAAGAGGAGGTGGCGGCGGCGCTGCAACACGCGCACCACTGCGGCATGGGCGAGGCGCGGTACTTCCTGGGGGGCGTGTGGATGGACTGGGGGCTGCTGGAGCGCGAGGTGTCGCGCGACAATGACGCGGGCCGCGTGTCGTGCGTGCTGGCGTGCTCCGTGCGGCGCGACCTGCAGTGCCAGCCGCACATGCCGTGCGTGCACGCCTTCTGGCTGCGCCACCTCAAGGAAGGTGAGCGGGCACGAGGAGAAAGGGGGGAAAGACAGGGGCGTTGAGAGGGGGTAAGGCTCGCACGGTGAGGTCTCTGTTTCCCCTTGGTCCCGCGCTGCTCTTGCTGCCGCCCCTTGCTACCGCCCCTTGCTCTTGCTCCTCCAGCGCCAGCGGAGCACACCACCCCACTGCTGGCGTCACGGGTGGACCTCGCCCTTGAAACCACCCGCTCTACTCCCTCGCCCTGTGCCACATACATGCGCACCATGCCCACAAGCATGCGACATGCGCACAAGCATGTGCCATGGCCACCAGCATGCGCCATGGCCACCAGCATGCACCATGGCCACCAGCATGCACCATTGCCGCTGTGTTGGGTGACACACGCTTGTCGTCCTCCTCACCAACCACTATGCTTCGCTCCCTTCCCCGATTCCCTGTGTTCCTCCCTCCCCGCCTTCCACCCCTCCCCCCTCCCCTCCCCCCACCCCCCCGCGGGTGCAGACACGGCGGCGCTGCATGTGTTCTACGAGAAGGACGCCTCGCTGCCCGTGCTGCGCGCCGACCCCTCGCTGCTCGCCATCCTTGACGCCGGCGCCGGCGTCGGCGTGCTCTCCGTGCTGCTGGCCGCCATGTGAGAGGGGCATTGGTGGATGGGCGGGGCACGGGATAGCTGATGTGGGCTAGAAGCATAGCGTGGTTGGGGAAGGCGTACAGTTGACGTGCAGGTCAACATGCTTGCTGGGCCGCACCATGCGCACCTCAAGCTCCACAGCCCTGTCTAGGTTGTGTGCCAATGGCAGTGCCCACTAGTGCCTGTCCCACCTGCTGCCGCATGCCACTCATACTCCACACCACTTGGCCCACTGCCCCCAGGAACCCGCAGGCGACGGTGGTGGCGGTGGAGGCAGGCGGCAGCAGCTTCTGCGCGCTGCAGCGCAACACGGCAGCGCTGTCTAATGTGGTGGCCGTGAGGGGCGGGCTGTGGCCCTACGAGACCACTCTGCACGTGGGGGCGCTGGATGGCCGCCTCACCCCTGCGCACTCCATCAACGCCCAGGTGAGCGCAGTCATCAACTCCCAGGTGAGCGCACTCCATCAACGCCCAGGTGAGCGCACTCATCAACGCCCAGGTGAGCGCACTCCATCAACGCCCAGGTGAGAGCACTCATCAACGCCCAGGTGAGCGCACTCCATCAACGCCCAGGTGAGCGCAGTCATCAACGCCCAGGTGAGCGCACTCCATCAACGCCCAGGTGAGCGCACTCATCATTGCCCAGGTGAGCGCACTGCCGAGCGCTCCTGCTGGCCTGTATGGTGCTCGCAGGCTGAAGCGGCCGCTGCTTTTGCCTCCCTTCACAACGTTGCCCATCTCATTTGTTGCTCTGCCCTCCCCAATTCTTGCTCTGCCCATGCAGGCTGCGGAGGGCAGCTGGGCGCATTCGAACGTGGTGCTGGGGCTGTCGGGTCCCTTTCTGCTGCGCTTCCTGGCGCTGCCGCGCTTTGACCTCGTGCGCATCAGCACGCGCGGCAACGAGGACCCGCTCTTCCACCCGCCGTCCGCGCACGACGCACACTGGCTGCTGACGGGTCCGCGCACCGCCATCTTTGACTCGCACCCGGGCCTCTTCCCCGCCGCCTCCCCGCCCGGCCCCACCAGCTACGACCGCGGCAGCATCCCAGCCACGTTCCTCGCGCAGCACGGCGGCTTCGAGCAGGTGCCCGAGACCAAGGGGTCGGGCTTCATCGTGCTGCGCCGCGCCCAGGGGGCGGTGGGCAGTGGCACGCTCGATGGAGTGGGCTCCCTGAATTTGTCTAGTGCATTAGCAGCACCAGGGGGCGAATCAGCAATGCTGGCAGGTACAGCGGCACTGGGAAGGAGCTGACCAGTAGTTCCAAGCCATCCTGTTTATCCACGGCAGCCAAGAAAGTGAAGTGAAGTGAGCCCCCCAAGCAGAAAGAAAGCAATTGCTGAAGGCTGAACCTCTCCACCACATGTGTTGTATGTTGAGACTAGAAAGGTGAGACTAGAAAGAAAAAGTAGAAGGGAGAACAGGGGAGATATAGCATCTGGGTTGTACCCACTAAGAACATACCCTATCTAGCCTATAACTTCTACATAACAATATATGTATAAGGTGACACACCCCCTAGGCTAGATAAGGGGTAGTGTTGAGCAAAAAACACGCAGCTCAGGGTGGCACTACTAGTCCAACCTTTGAGGCAGGGGCCCGAAGACCAGTCAGCAAGACTACAAGCAAGAAAGAGCAAACCAAGGCGGCACTACTAGTCCAACCATTGGAGGAAAGGCCACAAGGCCAGTCCGCAAGGCATAAATAGAAAGGAGTACACAATGAAGGGCATAGTAAGTGAGAGTCAACAGGGACTAGACCTAACTGCAAGCAGTGCCGCTGATGATCTCTAGGCGGAAGCGCCTTAGTGAAGATATCAGCTGTGTTGGCACCGGAGGCCAAGTGAACTACGCGGGCCAGGCGGCGCTGCTGTAGCTCGCACATGAGGAAGTACCGCAGCTGGATGTGCTTCGCTCTGCCCTCAAGTCGAGGCTCCTGACACAGGATGATCATGGCCCTGTTGTCAGCGTACAGAACCGTGGCAGAGCTAGGCCGCTCACCTAAGTCGGCAAGCAGAAGGTCAGCCAGCGGAGCTCCTATGCCGCCATGGCACCGGCGTAGATCTCAGCCTCGCAACTAGACTAAGCAACAGACAACGAGCGAGTGGACCTCCACGAGATGGCACAAGAACTACGGCTGAAGCAGTAGCCCTGGGAGGATCGGAGTGTCTCAGCGTCGTCTGCCCAAGAAGCGTCTGTGTGCCCAGTAAGGACCACTGGCCCGCGTCCTCCCAGAACTAGCCGCATGCCAGATGTAGTTGCAAGATAACGCAAAACCGTCTTAACGGCCGACCATTGCCGTGGTCGGTGTCTGCCTGTGGCCACAAAGCGGGCCAAGATGCTGAGAGGGTATCCGAGATCTGGGCGAGTGCAAGTCATCAGGTACATGAGGCAACCCACCAGCTCTGCGTAAGGACCATTGGGCTCTGCTCACTCCTCGGGAACTGGAGCTGAGAGCCTGTGGTCTACTGGCAGAGGTGTGGGCTGTACAGAGGAGAACTGAAGACCGAACCTCCGAAGGACCTGGCGCACCAAGTGTGCCTGTGTAAGAGTGATGGTGCGCGCTGCTTTGTCCCTGGAGATCTGCAGTCCAAGGTAGTGGCGCAGCTCTCCAAGGTCAGTGCAGGTGTGTCGCCTTAGAAGCTCAGCTTTCACAAAGGCCAGCGCGTCTTTGTCTGCTGTAGCAAAGACCAGGTCGTCTACGTAGACTAGGATGTAGAACGGATTCTGGCCAGCACGAACGAAGAGCGAAGGGTCAGCAGAGGACGGAAAGAACTGCACGTCAGCTAGCGTGTCACGCAGCGTGTCGTGCCACTCACGGAGCGCCTGTCGCAAGCCGTAGACGGGGCGCCGGAGGAGCCACTGGGTCCCAGGAGGGAAAGTACCTGTGAAGCCCTGAGGGCAGCGCAGGTAGACCTGCTCGTGTAGGCTGCCCCTGGAGGAAAGCAGTAGAGAAGTCGAGGGAGTGAAACTTGTAGTCACGCTGTGCTGCTACGTGTAGCAATGCCCGAAGAGTAGTCATCTTCGGGGTCGGGGGGAAGGTCTGAAAGAAGTCCACCCCCTCTCACTGACTGAAACCTCTAGCCACGTAGCGCGCCTTGAACACAGGCGGCTCTCCTGGGGGGCGCTTCATCTTGAAGAGCCACCGGCCATCGACTACGTTCACCCCATGTGGGGGAACTGTGTCGACGTAGGTGCCGGTAGCCCTCCAAGATGCCATCCCCTGCTCCATGGCAGCTATCCACTTAGAGGCCCAGGGTCCCGATGTCGCCTCAGCGTAGGTGCGAAGGGTCGGGATGTCAAAGGCGTCGGGGTCACCCTCAAGGACTAGCAGCATGGAACAGAGATGGGGAGCTGCTTCAGAGAGGAAAGCAAGCTCGTACTGCCGGTCCTCCAAGACGTCACTGCCGAGGGCAGGAGCACCCCTAACGGACGGAAGACAGACAGGGTCAGAGACCAGAGCGATAGCGAAGTCAAGGCGGCGAGTAGAGGCAAAGTCAGTGATAGCAGCTACAAGAGCGTCAAGACTGGAGACAGGGACAGACGGGTCGGTAACGAGGGAGGCAAGGACCCGAGGAACAAGAGGACGAGCAGCATGAAGGTAGTCAGACAGAGGAGGAGGCGTGACAGTGAGCGACGACGGAGGAGGCGAAGGCAAACGGTGAGGACAAAACGTGTGGGAACGAAGCAACATAGGGTGAGGACGCTGAACAGGAGAGACAGGACGAGCACGAGAGGGACGGCGAGACAAGACGTGAGACGGAGGCGTTGGGTCAGGAGACAGAGGAGGAGTAAGAGGAGGGGAACAAAAGGGGAAACGAGCCGGGGACGAGTCCGGCGGAGGAAATACAGGACCATGAACAGGAAGAGGGGGCGCAGGCGAGCGGTCAGGGGAGGGAAGGCCGAGCAGGCGAAGGGCGGACACCGTTGGCGACTGCTGCTGCTGGTGCTCAACGCCGACACCTGGACCACCTGCTGCACCACTGCTACCTCTGGTACACTCCACGCCAGCACCCTTAGAACCAGAAACGTCTCCAGTGCCGGTGCCACCCCCGAGCCCCGGGGGACAAGCCACGACGGGAGCCCCTGGACTAGCACCCTCTCAAACTCCAGCACCCCCAGAGTCCACGAACGGCCGCGGCTGCGGCGGCGGCTGCGGTTGCAACGACTGCAACGAGGGAGGAGGAGACACCAGGGGAGGGATGGGTGGCGCAGACTGCGTCGCGGGGCCACCGGAGTCAGCCGACTCCTCGACCGGGACAACCGACGGGAGGGGAGTGACATGAGACACAACAAACAGAGAAGGACGAGGAGGGAGGGGAGCAGGGGCGACCGAGGGAGTGGGAACCAAAAACAGGGGGGGGGGAACCGGAAGACCTCGTTGAGGAAAGCGGTGGAAAAAGGAGACAGACTCGTCAAAAGTGACGTCACGGGAGTGAAGGAAGCGGTGAGACGGCGGGCGGTAGAAGTTCCAATCAGACGAGTCAAAGGGGAAACCAAGGAAGACACAGGGGACGGTGCGGATAGTGAGCTTGTCCGTGCCAGAGGCACGAACGTGAGGGAGGCATCCCTAGACGTGGAACGCAGACAAGTCACCAGGGAACCCGGTCCAAAGAAGGGTCGGCGAAACCTGCGGCTGCTGAGAGCGAGGCCAGATTTTAAGCTGGTGAGCGGCGTAGCGAACGGCGAACGACCACAGAAAATGGGGTGCACCGGCATGGATCATGGAGGTATGAGCCACCTCAATGACCAAACCGATGCGTCGCTCAGCGACTCCATTTTGCTGCGGGGAGTCCGGTAGGGTGATACCCTCCGCACGACAGAACTGACCCAGCCGACCAGAGGCGAACTCGCCGCCACGGTCGGAGTGGAGACACAGCACAGGGAGACCGCGGTGGAGGCGTGCAGCAACGAGCCACGGGTTAAGAACGTCAGGCACGTCGGCCTTCGGCTCTAGGGGAAACACCGTGGTGTAGCGTGTGAATTCGTCAACGAACACCAGAAAGTAGCGCTCGCGATGCGGTCCAGGGACAGGGGCTGGGCCCCAGACGTCCAAGTGCAAGGTTTGAAGGGGTGCAGTGGCAGGGACGAAGTGAGGAGGAGTGAGGAGCACGGCGCACTCGGCCCTCGACGCAGGGCGTGCACGGCGGCACATGCGAGGGAGGGAGAGCAGGGAGCAACGCAGGGAGGCCGAGGACTAGACCATGCTGAGACATGTGACGCAGGCGGGGGAGTGCAGGGTGACCTAGGCAGTGGTGCCACAACAATGACGGGTGAGTGAGCGACCGACACGAGCAGGCCGCAGCTACCTGGGTGGACGCATAACCGGAGGAGGACTCGCCCGCCGGGGGGGGGAGCAGTGTCCAGCGTAAACAGGCGAGAAACATGGTCCCGGGGGAACGTTCCAAGGTGGGCACCTGAGGCGGCCTCGGAACAGACGGCGTACCGCTCGTGACCAGGGAACGTAGTGGTGACGCCGTGGTCCTGAAGACAGCCGACACCAACTAAGTTCCTGGAGAACGAAGGGATGTGCAGGCCTGTAAGGGAACCCGAGGGAACCGCCGGACAGGGAAGGGTAGTGTAGCTATGAGCAACTACAGGACCAAAGGAGGGGTCTGCAAGGGCGACAGTGGCAGGCGCAGTAAGCGGCGTGAGGGCAGCGTGGTCGCGGAAGAAACAGGCTGACGCACCGGAGTCTAGAGTAAAGGACAGCGACGCCGTAGTGGCCGACGACGGAGGAGCAAGGGTAGAGCCTAGGCAAGACAAAGCAATTTGTCCTACGCCTAACGCAGCAGTGGAGTCTGGACAACACAGGTGCTACGCCTAAGCTAGAGAACACAGCATAATACGATCCGAAAACACTCAAAGCGTCAGCATACAGAAAATCCAAGGCAGAACTAATTTGATCCATGTCTTAGTCAAACACAGACACACCGTGGCGCAGCAGGCTGGGCTAGTCAGGGAGGTCCGGGGCGGGACCAAAGCGGCGACGGAAGAGGTCGTCGAGGCGGTGGAAGCAGCGTGCAGTGGGGTGCGTGCGGCGGCACACCGTGCCACGCAGAGGCCCGGTCTGAAGCTGGTACTGGCAGCTCAATGCACCGAAGCTGCCGGTGGACGCCGAGCTGCAAGGGCCACCACCACGACCACCACCGCCAGGGGCTCCTTGCCACCCGGGCGGGAGACAAGCCCACGGCTGCTGCTGCTGCTGGGACGGCTGCTGCTGCTGCGGCAGTTGCAACTGCGGCGACTGCTGCTGCTCCTGGGCACCAGCATCAACCCCCTTGTCAGAACCACTGTCCCCGCCACCACCAACACTAGCGCCACCTCCACGTCCTCCCTTGGGGCCACGGCGGCCCCGGCACTGGCGCTGCTGCGGATAAGCCGCAGCTGCTGTCTCAGGTGCAGGCGCAGTCGTGGCAACTGCGGCGGAGACGTCAGCGTACGTGCACTGGGAGGGGGCACAACCCTGAAAGATTGGGACGGCCGCAACACTGCTCGACTGAGTGATAGTGCGCAAGCGAGTCTCTATCTCAGACA